GAGCAGGAGAGAACGACGAGCAAAAGCCATACGCCTCACATTCCTTCCATCTCGCTCAGCACAATCACTTCTGTATGTGCCGATATGTTTCAAAAACAGCAGGAGCAGGAGCAGGAGCAGGAGCAGGAGCAGCAGAAGCAGGAGGAGGGGGAGGAGGAGGAGGGGGAGCTGGAGAAGGAGGAGGACGAGGAGGATGGAAACATACTTTGCAGCTCTTCAGCCAGTGCAAGGTCGCTCAGGAGGGAGGCCGATACATCCCTCCTGCTGTAGCACTGCAGAGTCGCCTGCTCGCAGGAGATGAGAACTTTCACACCTACCCGTCATGCTCGTTCCTCTTCGAGACACTGGAGGAGGAGGACGAGGAGGTGTTGGCACTCCCGGATGGCCCTGCAGGACGGACGATTCAGCCCCCTCCCTCCTTCCTCCTCCGCCCCCCCAGCTAGCCTCCACCTGAGAGCTTCAGTGTTCCCATCATCCATGGACAAGCTTTCTATCAGCTTCGCCTCCTCCCTCAACGTCTCTCTTATCCTCCCCCTCAGCTCCTCGCTGGAGAGGATCCAGACGCTGTTCTTGCTGCTGCCATCGCAGAGCTGCAGACCGTCAGACGCTAATAACTTTTCCTCCCTCCCTCCCTCCCTCCCTCCCTCCCTCCAGCCTCTGGCCTCCCTGCTTGCCTACCTGCCTGCCTCTCTGTAATCCTCTCGCCTCTTCCTCCTTCCAACTCCCCTCAACCTCCTCTCCCCTCACATGCAGCATCAGCTTCGCCGCTGCCACTCTCGCCTCCGTCCATCGGCGATCTTCTACAGCGCCTGGAATGCCATGGCTCCCCAACACCTGCGATTCGATAAGTCGCTGCTGCCCTCCCTTGCAGCCTCGTCACGTTGGAGAGGAAAGCGAGCAGATCGCAGCCATGCAGGTGGTTCCGAGCGGCGGACATAGCGTCACATTGTTGCATCTCCTTCGCTTTGAGCATCGACAGCAGACGCTCGCAGGTCAGCAGCGCCTCTCGATCATTATACATCTTCCGCGCCATGTTGTCTTCATCGCGGTTGGTCCATTCCTTGGCCATGGCCTCTCCTTGTTCCACCACTGCAGCATCGAACCTTGAGAGGAGCTCGCTTCTTGGCGTCAGGATCCTCTTTCCGTCCCCTGATCCATTTTGATCAGTCATTGTGCTATACTAGGTCCTCTCCTTTTCCTCTCTCGTCTCGTCTCGTCTCTCCTCCCCTCCCCTCCCATCAGGGCCTCTCCTCCCCTCCCCTCTCCTCTCCTCTCCTCTCCTCTCCTCTCACCCCATGTCTCATGTACATCTCGCGCTGCCCACGCGTCCTCCCACCATGTCGGCAGACTCATTGCGAGCCCGACAGACAGGCCGAACGGGTCAAGACATTTGAGGTGTAGAGTACCCCTCCATACCCAGTCAAATGAAGGGGTGAGGGTAATTTGGCTGTTAATTTCATTTAAAATCAAATTGAATAATATTTGCAGGATACTCAAAGACTTTATTTGCCGGATTTCGTCCTATGGAAACTCCGGAGAAACTTTCTTTAAACTGTTTTCAGCCCCTCATAAAGCCTTTGCCTCATCACCCCTCACCCCCAATAAACTTCTATGTACCCCTACCCATCTTCTGACTATATTTAACCCTACCCTTATCCATGTATGTATGTACCCCCACCCCCTTTGTTCGGATGTCCCCCTCAACTCCTTCTGTGTTGAACTCCGTTCCGACAACCACCATCACCCCCCCTTGCGACTGCCGTAACCACTACCCCTACCCACTCCTTAGAGCCATTGGTACCGTTCTTGCTCTCCACCCTCCAGTCCACCACTAAACTGTAAACCCTACCCTCTTTATCAGTGCAAATTACCTTAAAAGTACCCCTTCAACAAGCACCCTACCCGTACTTTTGTTCACCTACCCTCCCCCAACCCACCCTCCTAAAAAAAAAAAAGAACAATTCGAAGAGTCACATTGATGGCTGCTATTTAAGGGGCTGGGGGTACTCCATGGGGGGAGGGGGTGGGAAATGGGAAAACTTGGGGTACTCATACAGAAACTGCCTATGAACTTCCGGGGGCGGGTACAGTTGATAAGCACAAGGAGGGGTGTGTTATAACGGAGTTCGGAGGGAAACCTAAGGGGTGGGTAGTGAAGTCTTTGATTCAGAGGGGTAGGGTGATGAAATGGGTTCTAGGGACAGGGGTGGGTAGAAGTACAGAGGAAGAGGATTGTATGTGAGGCGACAAAGTTGTGTGGAGCAAGGAGGCTGGGAGAAGAGGAGGAAGGGGTGAAGTGAAGGGAGCATCCAAGTGCAAGATCATGTTAGCCATTTGCGAGATGAACGATGATCTATGAACTAGATGAACAAGTAGTCGCTTCAGAGAGAGTTTTGTGCCCTACGGTGGACTTGGCTTGCTCGTTTTCGCTCTTTCGTGATTTGCTGTTGGTTTTGTTTGTCTTTATGTAGATTGTTTGTGATTTTCCTGTGTGAGATTTATCAGCCAAAGTGTATATGTGCACATCAAAGATGAGATTCCGACTCCACATGTATCGTGTCACAGAACATAATCTGTACCCAAGGACAGGATTTGTACCTGTGTGAATGACAAGTATAATTTCCTGGAGCATGCAGTTTGCGAGGGCAACGATGACATTGAACTTCTGCTGCTGCAGATGTTTGACTTTGGATTCTCTGGAATTGAGCTCTCCAACCTTATCCCACAGCACTCCACTGCTCTCAGCGGTGGCGAATGGTGAGATTACGATGGCTTGTTAGCCTGAGTGATGTAATGATGGATCGCAGGCACAAGTGCGATGATCCATGGGGATGCTATCTCAACTCACAGGGCAACCCTGCTACCAACCTTTCCAACCCTCAGGGCCACACTGTCTACGTCCCTTACGGAGACAACGGCCCCAACGTGGAAGGTTGCTCCTCTGGCTCCCCCTGCTACTGCAACGGCGGCGCTACCGGCCTCGAGCCCTCGCAGCTCCACGAGATCCATAGCGGCATGGACTGCGACGGCGGCGTGACCTGCAACGGCGGCGTTACCTGCAACGGCGGTGCGGAGTGCAACGGCGGCGCTGACTGCAACGGAGGCGCTACCGGCCTCGAGCCCTCGCAGCTCCACGAGATCCATAGCGGCATGGACTGCAACGGCGGCGTGACCTGCAACAGCGGCGTTACCTGCAACGGCGGTGCGGAGTGCAACGGCGGCGCTGACTGCAACGGAGGCGCTACCGGCCTCGAGCCCTCGCAGCTCCACGAGATCCATAGCGGCATGGACTGCGACGGCGGCGTGACCTGCAACGGCGGCGTTACCTGCAACGGCGGTGCGGAGTGCAACGGCGGCGCTGACTGCAACGGAGGCGCTACCGGCCTCGAGCCCTCGCAGCTCCACGAGATCCATAGCGGCATGGACTGCGACGGCGGCGTGACCTGCAACGGCGGCGTTACCTGCAACGGCGGTGCGGAGTGCAACGGCGGCGCTGACTGCAACGGAGGCGCTACCGGCCTCGAGCCCTCGCAGCTCCACGAGGTTCATGCTGGCGCCACCACCACATCGCTTGGTGCTGGCCCTGAGGTGACGAACTGCATGGACTGCGTACACAACTGCGTCGGTGGATCCGAGCAGGGCTGTATCCCTTCCGATCCTCCTGTAGGCAACCCCTCTCTCACGGGACAGAGCTTCCAGGTCCCTGCTCCTGCTCACTGGTACGCCAACGGTGGACATCCTGGCTCGTTGGCTCCTACCTCGGCACTCGGCGCTGGCCCCGAAGTTTCCAACTGCATGGAGTGCCCGCACAACTGCGTTGGCGGGTCTGAGACGTCCTGCCCCGTCCAGCCTCCAGGCTCGGTCTCAGCTCCTGCTCACTGGTACGCCAACGGCTGCACTGAGGCCACTGGAACTGCCAAGGAGCTTGCGGCTCCTGTCGCTGCCGCCAGCATGGAGGGCAAGAACGTGCGCGCATCGCCCGGACACCTTCTCATGTCGTGCCATGCCTTCACCCTCGCTGCTCTCCAGGTTATTCGCACCGCTCGCTTCTCCTCTGCTCCTCTTCTCTGACATGTCTGGCAGGGCATCGCCAAGGGTGACTTCAGCAAGTTTGCGGAGGATGCTGCCGCCAACGCTGAGGCCGTCACTCCCCTCGGAGGATACCTGATCCGCAAGGAGCTTGTGACCAACTAGACATGTCCTGTCCTGGTAGTGGTCTCGGACATGCAGCACGTGCCTCAGGTGTTGTGTAGGACGTGTTGAGTGTGTGTGGTGTGACGACGAGAGCGCTTCTGCTCTCTTCTTGTCTGACTGCCTGTGTTAAATGCGGACTTGAAATATTGGTCTGCAGTTTGTTGTTAAACCTGATATAAGCACAGCTCCTCTCCTCTCCTCCCTGCTGCTCTTCCTCCCTCCTCCAACCTTCTACACCCATCAACACCCTTCTTCCGCTTCCTTCCCTTCCCCTCTCCCTCCCCTCTCCCTCCCCTCTCGCTATCAGATATGGGGGCCGCAGATCGGGGGGGGAAATTGATTTCACTACGACTCAGGTACGGAGGGACGGAGGGGCCGTAGAGGGAAGATTCCCGGCGCTATGGGCAGAGGATCGCAGAGGTCAGAGAGCTATCCCCATACCCCCCCCCTCCTCGTTCTCCACCTCCTCTTCCTCTTCCTCCCTCTCCTCCTCCTCCTCCTTCCTCCCCGCTTTTCTCTGACCCGTTCGCGTATCCCCGCCAGTCTGTGCTCAACCAGGACGGGGGCGAAGGGGCGTATCGCCAGGGCGAGGAGCATAAGAGGGAGCGGAGAGGACCAGGAGGGTCAGAGCAGGAGCACATGAAGCGACAACTCCGTCCATGGTCGTGAACTTGTGAGAACATTCTAGAGCGGCGCGCGGGGCCCTGGCGGCATGCTCTACCCCAGCGTGGGATAGGTCGATTACACACAGGGAGGAGCAGGCAGCATGAAGCTTGTCCTCTTCCTGATCGCTTCCTCCCTCCTCTCCTTGCTCCACCTCGCCTCCTCTATCAACTTGAGGCCCCCGACGACCATGCTCAGCGCAATGCGGAGCAACGCCGACACGCTGGGGACGAGGATGTCGTGGCATGCGAGCAACATGATGAGGAGGAGTCGGAGGGGCTGTGAGATGGTCGGGAGTAGGAGGAAAGAGCTGCCTTGCTTGCGAGCATGGTCACTTCCATCCGCCGCTATGGTTTGCCGGCTCTTGTTCTTGTGCATGTCTGATGGAGCACTCAGATGAAAGTTGGGCTAACATGCGCCGTTGCCTCCCTCTTGCCTTTCACGATCTACAGGAGGTTGATGATGATGATGATGATGATGATGATGATGATGATGATGATGATGATGAGGAGGAGGAGGAGGAGGACGTTTCCGATACCGAAGGCAGAGGGTTTGATGAAGTGATCCATTGCGATGCGACTCACCTGCAAAAGAACACAAACATGGCAAACTTTTACAGCTGTGTTGACTAATGCTTCAAAACCAGATGGATGTCAATCCAGGCAGGGAGGAAGTTTCGCGAGAGAGCAGCTCTGTACATGACGATTCCCCTGATCTCAGGTTCTCAAGGTTGGTAAATGTTGCAATGAGGTAAGATTTGTCGGCAGGAATTCTCAACTGGGCCACAAACAGGCTTGCGGTGAACGACAGGGCTGCGATAGCAATCAGTGTGAGGTTTTTCCTGTAGGTGTGGATGATTTTCAACCCTCAAGAATTTTATGGAATTCCGTTCATCTCAAGGTTCTTGCAAGTCTGACCTGCCCTTATCTCTTCCTTCCCACCTCCTTTCTCATATCGTCTCCTCTCGTCCTCTTTCCTTCCCACCATCTCCTCCTCTCCTCCTGCTCTCCTTTCCTTTCTTAGAATTTCAAATTTCTTGACTTGTGCTGGTCTTTCTTTGCCTGCGTGTTCTGCAGGAAGATTGAGGGACAACCGCTTGGTTGGTTTGGATGGCAGGGGATTGTAAGCTGAAGAATACTCCTTCCATATTTCTTGTTTCTGCTCCTGCTCCTGCTCCTGCTCCTGCTCCTGCTCCTGCTCCTCCTCCTCCTCCTCCTCCTCCTCCTCCTCCTCCTCCTGCTCCTGCTCCTCCTCCTTCTCCTCCTTCTCCTCCTGCTCCTCCTGCTCCTCCTCCTCCTCCTCCTCCTCCTCCTCCTCTTCCTCCTCCCTCTTTCTTCGTCCCCTCTTTCCTCTTTACGCCTCGTTCCCCTTAAGTGCCCGGCAGGTTCCTGCCAAAGTGACCAAAATGTCATCCGACATCGTTGATATCACGACAGAGGTGAAGCAAGAGAGGGGGGAAGAGGACCAGAAGGGAAGAGGAAGTCAGGGAGGGAGGGAGGAGGGAAAGGAGCAGCAGGAGCAGGAGCAGGAGCAGGAAGGAGAGGAGGGGGAGGAGGAGGAAGAGGAGCAGGGAGGGGGAGGGGAGGAGGAGGGGGGCAGATGCTCATCGAGACATTTCCAGCAACTGCTGGACGTGAAGAAGATTTTTGGGAGGATAGAGGTAAGGAGGAGGAGGAAACGATATTTCTCTTCTCAGTCTTGAACTCTAAGGAAAACCGTCTCCTCGACCACCTCAGACAAGGAAATCTCTTCGCGGCCGTTCTCAACTCAGCGAAGGTCCTCCTGCTCCTGCTCCCGCTCCCGCTCCCGCTCCTGCTCCTGATCTTCTGCTCCTTCTGCTGGTCCTCCTTCTGACCTTCTCTTTCCTCTCCTCTTTCTCTCTGCTTTCCTGACTCTTACTCGACAGGCCTCGGAAGTACTTCCCTCTTCTCTCATCCGGTCAGCTCAATCTCTCTCCTCCCTCCTTGCTGACAGGACGGTCAGCGAGGGAGAGGCGAAGGTGGCGGGAGGAGGAGCTACCTTGACCTCGCACCTCCTCGAGCACAAAGTGAGGGAGAAAAATCAGGAGGAAGAGGCGGAAGGGGAAAAGGAGGGGGGTGGAGGGAGGCAGATGGGGACGGAGGAGGAGGTGTTGGTGGGAAGACTAGAGCGAGGATAATTCAGGGAGTACGAGGATGAAGATGATGACAACGATGGAGGGGAGTGCGGGAGCAGCATCAAGCGCAGGCACAGGACCAGGACCAGGACCAGGACCAGGACCAGGACAAGGACAAGGACAAGGACTAGGAGCAGCAGCAGCAGCAGCAGCAGCAGCAGCAGCAGTAGCAGAGGCAGCAGGAGAAGGAGGAGGAGCGAGAGGAGAAGAAGCAAGAGCAGCAGGAGAGCAGCAGGAGAGCAGCAGCAGCAGCGGCAGAGGCAGCAGCAGCAGCAGCAGCAGCAGCAGCGGCAGCAGCAGCAGAGGCAGTAGCAGCAGCAGCAGCAGTAGCAGAGGCAGCAGCAGCAGCAGCGGCGGCAGAGGCAGCAGCAGCGGCAGAGGCAGCAGCAGCAGCAGCAGCGGCAGAGGCAGCAGCAGCAGCAGCAGAGGCAGCAGCAGCAGTTTGTTTGTTCTGACTGTAAGTGCAGACGGAGAGGATTGTCATGCGTGTCATTCGAGCGCTCAAGAAGGATCCGCTGAAGTTCTGCCCCCTGAAATCAGCGTGAGTCTCCTCATCCTCCTCATCCTTCTCTTCCTCCTCCACCTTCGCTGCTGCTGCTGCTGCTGCTGCTGCTCCTGTTCTTCCTTCTACTCTATTCCTTCTCCTACCACTACTACTCTTCCTGCTCCTACTCCTGCTCTTCTTGTTGCTCTTGCTCCTGCTCTTCCTCTTGTTGCTTCTTCCTTCTGCTCCTTCATGTCTTCTCTCCTCCCTCTCTTTCTCTCGGTCGTTCAACTCACCTGACGCTTCAGCGTCGTGGACGACATGACGAGGAACAAGATGCTCTTATGCGAACTTTTTCAGAGGTCTGACTTGGATGATGACGATGACGATGACGATGACGATGATGATGATGATGATGATGATGATAAGGAGGACAAAGAGGAAGAGGAGGAGGAGGAGGAGGAGGAGGAGGAGGAGGGCGGAAAGCAGACAAGGAGAGGGCGAGACGAGGACTGTCCTCCGAAATGACAGAAGGAGCAGGTGCGGGCGGCAGGAGCTCAAGTTTCTCGTCTTCA